AAATACAAATATGAAACTCTTAAAACCAGTTCATAATCAGTACATTTAACTGAACACAGGATATGTTCCATCAGTAAAAACCTTAAAAACACAGAAAACTCACAATTGATCAAGGCTGGTCAATGTCATTATAATAGCAAAAGAGTTAGAAAGGCAAAATGACACGTGAACAGAGGCATTCTGCACAGCTGATGAGGGCACATCCCTGCAGTTACAAACATGCTGTCATGTGTCACTGAGAATCTCTTCCCGTGTTCAGTGCCATGTTTCAAGGCAGAGTCCCATGATCACAGTGTGGATGGAATATCCAGTTTATGACACAACCTCTATAAACTCTTGAGTTGTGATACGTGAATGGAAGTAACAGCTTCCCCATGTTCCTCACACTCACAGTGACCTTCTCTTCTGTGAGCAGAGCTCCTCTATTGTAGTGTGATAAGCATCTAAACCCTCTGCTGCATTTGTTACATCGATAAGGGTTCTTTCCTTTTTGGAATCATGGCAACTTTTGTGGAATCATGAGTAGTTCATTACATTAATTTCACATTCCTCTCCACTGTGCATCCTTAAACATGAAGTGAGGTCTGAGTAACAAACACAGGCTTACCCAAGTTGGCTACATTCATAAGGCCGCTGCAAACTAACTGTGAGTTCACCTGTTTAGTGATGGATGGACAACTAGGAGTGGTTTCTCCATATTCCTTACAATCAATGTGACTTTTTCCATTGTGAGATCTCATATATACAGTGAGGGATGAGGCATCAGCAAAAGCTTTTACACACTGTGGACATTCAGATGGCCTCTTCCCAGTGTGGATTTTTCTATGTCTAGTGAGGATTGAGGCCTGCCTGAAGACTTTCTCACACTGTGTACACTCATAAACCCAGTCTCCACTATGAGTTTGCACATGTGTAATGTGGTGTGAGAAATCCTTAAAGAGTGTCCCATATTCCTTACATTCACAGGGCCTCTATGGACTATGAGTTTGCATGTTTATAGAGGGATGTGTAACAATCAAAGGTTTTCCCACATACTTTGCATTTATATGGCCTCTCTCCACTGTGGATTCTTCTATGTTTTGTGAGGCTTGACCCTTGAGTAAAGGCTTTCCCACACTCCTTACACTCATAG